TCGAGCCCTTCGTTGCAAGTGACGGGTTCGACGAGCAAATTAACCCATAGACACAGCCCACTGAGTCTCTCGCCGGATCTTCTAAGCGGGTCGCGTTTCCGATCCGGTGGTAGAGTCTGCGAAGCACTGCTCTTGCTAGGGTCAGTGTTAGCAACACTCCGGTTTGAGCCCCGTGAGCTCACCTACACACGCTAGGGTGAAGCTGAAATAGCTTCTCAAGGCTGTCAGCATAGGTAGGAAAAAAAATTCATAATAAAATGTATGTTGTTATGGCTGTACCTACGTATTATATACTGTTTTTTTTTTGAAAAACATTAATTTATTCGCAAGTAATTAATAAAAAAACGAACAAATAGCGTGTTAGGATCCAAAAATATCGTAACACAGTTTGTTTTTAGGTCCAAAATTCTAGAAATTACGGTAAAAAAATAAAATAAATAATTAAATGCTGTTTAATTTATAAAACTCTTGAAGGCGGACTGCTTCGAACCGTATGTCACCTTTCTTCACGGACAACAACAAAATCGAATAACGTGACCGCCATTTATGATAATTCAATCACCCGTTCTTAGTTTAGGTGAATTGAATTTAAAATTTCCTAAGACCTATGTGTACCATTCAAATGTCAGTAGTTCAAGGGTTGGGATGGTTCGTTATGATTGATCAATGTGTTCGATGTTTTGACGAGGCTTATGAAGACCCGTGTGGACTAGTTTCAATAGGATTTAATAAAACTCGTATTTTATGGTTCAGTGCCGCCTGGCTTCACTCGCGTTAAAGTTACTTTTATATATTGAAAAACATCTCACGTTATTTGCAATTCCAGAAATAAATAAATAAATAAGGAAGTTCCATTTACGAATTTGTATGTATATGTTCCCTATTTCAATATACCGACGGTTGAAAGGCAAACGTGACTAAGCGACAATAACTGCTTTGTACATAAATGATAGGCAATAACCATATTCGATGCGCAAAAAATATATATTTCTAGGTCTATTCAAATCATTTCAATCCTACAACTACTAGCTAGATTCTACTACAGCTAGATTCGTTAAAATAAATTTTGTTTTCAGGTATTTTAACTTTAAATTAGTCTACTGTAAAGTTCACGCATTGTCGCTTAGTCACGTTTGCCTTTCAAGCCTCGATACGTAAATACTTCTTAATGGTATGATTCCGGTTTCTGTAAAGGACAGAATAAAAAATATTTTTCTTTTGATTGTTTTGTATTATGCATATTCCATAAGTCCTGAAAGCCTCACAATTTGTTTTGGGGGCACAAACTCGTCACGATACCATAGCAACAAGACTATAATTACACGCAGATCCACCTCCGTGAGTTTTATCATCTTCAACTTCTGTCCAAAGATCTTTACGACTCCGTTGCACCGCCGAAGCGTGACCTCTTAATCTAATCGCGTTTTATAATCATCCTAATAGCAACATAACCGTACGATGTTCCGTACATGGTACAAGAATAAAGATGTTTTGTATTTGATATTTTTGCAAGTTCTAATCGTTTGTCGTGATGTGTTGTATCGTGAATCGTCTGGGTGAAGGAAGGTTAAGTTTTTGATACGCCGTCCAGTGTTTAGATTGTTTTGACGCTTCTGTCATGGTCATCTTTTGGATGCTGTTTCGTAATATATTGTGTTTTTGTTAAGATTGTTAGCTTTTTTCATTCAGGGTTCGTTCGTTTTTGTGGTCATAATTTGAAAATCGAGATTTAGCGCATAAAAAAATATTAAAATCGATTTTCAAATATCGCATATAAAATTTTGCTATTGGTTTATGGCGTTTTAATAGAGGTTTCCGTAATACGTGCATACATATCTTTTGAAGCGACATATATATATTTTTTGTTTTTAACATCGAATTTCATTGCACCGAAAATTTTCATGGTACTTATCACATACATACATTATCAAAAACTATTTAGCATTATTTAATACTCGCTTTTATATATTTTTTATTAATATTTAAATAAAACGCTTCTCTACTTTTATAGGACTAAGATGTTATGTTTATACATTTCACGATTTCTATTTGTCTGAACGATTCTCAACGTGTTTTCGTGTTTAATACCTACAATGAAAGTATTTTTGCAATACACCAGAGTTTCAATGTACTCATAAAGCAGGTCTCGGCAGGCTGTATCTAGCTTAAGCACATCGTAAAGCTATGTGAGGTGAGAACCACGTAAATATCTCTCATTTAGCTTTGTAGTAAAACTTCTGAATAGCGGTTAATTAGTAGACACTTATGAGCAGTCAGACTTCATTTGACATTATGTTTTCACACCCATCGCCGGGTCTGAGATGATTTGAATGGAGTTACGCGATCATAAAACGTACTAAACGACTTCACGGTACAAGGTAATTTATTTTATAGCTCCTTTAGCACGCGAAATATAAACGTTGTGTGAAAAAGACACGGTTTCGAACGATCGGCTATTTTATATCAGGACAAAACTCCTATATAGTTTATACGGCTATCATATTGGTTAATTGCGACTGAGCAATTTTCCGTAATCACAATGGCAGTTTTATTGAGGCTCTTCTATTCAGTTAATTCCATTAAAATCTTTAGGCGTAAAATTGCTTGCAAATTCGAAATTGCTCGATGTGACCATGTTGTAGAACAAAGAGTTATTTGTTACTGGAAACGCTATTAATTTCAATGGGACTGCGACTTGATCGCGATCTATGCTATGACAAAAAAAGACGTGTGGCACTCGGAGACTGCCGCGGTAAAGCTAATTGCATAGCATTTTTTTTCAACTTATGCAATTATAAATCGACAATAATAATTTAATATTAAAACAACAATAAAATAAGATCCGGCGAGAAACTCAGTGGGCTAACTTTCAATGAATCTGCTACATTGTGTGTATTCCATTTTGACCGCGCACTCACTAGATGGCGCTATATGGGATAGAGACACGCCTTTGGATGCTAGTTCTAACTCTCATTCGTCCAGAATCAACGGTTTAGCTAGTTTATTTTTAGTGTCACTCCAATCACTGAATGAGTAGTAGGAGTAGTAATAAAATTCTTCGACTAAGTGATAGAAAATGGCACGCCCAACGCATTGTAATGTGATATAATTTTCTATTTTACAATTCCGTTTGTCGCCGATAGGTGACGCTTGACGAAAAGCTGAATCGCGCTATCGTGTGTTACCCACGAAATTATATCAAATATTTTGATAGTACATAAATCGGTGTTTAGACTTCTTACTTTAAACACTACACAAGCGCAACGTGTGAATGTGTTGAACGCGAGCTACATAGTAGGCGTAGTGAGGGGTGGAAGGTTTTTTCGTTACGGAATTTCATGATTCCGCTCTCAAGCCGCGCTCAAGGCTCGCGATAAAATCTATGCAATAGCTTAAAAAAGAAGCCGAAAATGATCAATAAATTGAAACGATTAAAAAGTACTGGTGTCCGTAATGATTGAGGATCGTGTATTTCGTGAGGTGAAACACACGGTAGCGCCGCGAGCCACCGGCGGGTCTTGCTTTCCCACCGCGAAACGAGCGTGTACTTGATAAAAACAATTGCTTAATTCGCATCCAATTATATTCTTGTCTCGTAATATTTATCGTTAATGCTGTAAATGAAAACGTGATAAAATAAAAACCAAACTATTCTGACATTAAGAAAATTTAAACTGAACTTTATTCTACTAAAAAAACAGATTAAATTTTTGTTGTTGTCCTATATTACAATTGATGTGGAAATTAGGTTTTAAAGTCATTACCATAACGGCGTTTTTCAAATGGATCACGGTGATCTCTGGTTAGTGACATGTCAAGCGGTGATGACAACGGATTCGATATAAATATAAAGTTGGAACACATGTTACATTTTAAATAGTTATTCATTTAAATGAAGTAGTATGACTTACGATGTACTGGTTCATCCTTTGTCGTGGATTATTAAGTTTCTATGGAATTTGAGAATAGAATTATCTAAATAAGTGTTAAACATTTTGTGTTTAAAAGCATTCTTACTGTCAAATTATATTTGAAAGATGACATGAAAGATTTTTACGGGTAGTAGGACCTCTTGTAAGTCCGCACGGGTAGGTACCACCGCCCTGCCTATTTCTGCCGTGAAGCAGTAATGCGTTTCGGTTTGAAGGGTGGGGCAACCGTTGTAACTATATTCGAGACCTTAGAACATAAAACTTATATCTCAAGGTGGGTGGCGCATTTACGTTGTAGATGTCTATGTACTCCAGTAACCACTTAACACCAGGTGGGCTGTGAGCTCGTCCGCCCATCTAAGCAATAAAAAACAAAAATGTCATATTTCGTAAATTTTTGTAATAAAGTTTACCGAATTTTCCCATCGTGCCGTCAGACGTTTTGCTACCTGTTCATTCACTGAGCGCACGTGGTGTGGTGGGGGCGAACGCCTTCCGCGTAACGCTATCAGTAGTTTCCGCACCCTCTCGCAAGCGCAGTTGCTAAACGCACCCGCAGTTGTTCGCACGTCGCCTGACATATCTAGTCTCTTTAAATCTACGTACTATTGTGGCATTGCATTAACATAGTTCTGCGTTGTGATAAAGTGATCTATCCATCTGTGACGGTCTCCGCGATATCTGTATCACTATTTTTATTTACCTGGTTTTAGAAAAGGTGCGTATTAAATTTAAAGAGAATTTTAAGACCAAACGTTTTTTGAAAATAATTCTGTGAATTTATTTACATTCAAGAATAATGTTAGGTTGTTACGTAAATCCTTTTTCAAAGTTTTACGATGTGTACCTTCTGTCTGGTGTCGGGCTTATACTGGCTTTCATTAGAATCATATTTTATCGCATCCCCACGTAAAGAGAGAGATGAAAAATTTGATCGTCGCGTTCACAAACACACATACACACGTTTATCTACTCGCATGTACACTGAAACACGTACTCTGCACCGCACACAATAAAGCTCACATTCCATAACGCTCACCCCGCATTTGATAACTTATCATTGTACAGGCGTTCAAGCCCCGCCCGTCGTAAGCATCACATCTTAGTCCAGACAAAATGTTCGCCGTGATGCAAATTGACGAAGAGCACACACGGGATTTCAGACGCAAACTGCGCCCAAAATGCGAGTTCGTTTGCAAGTACTGCCAACGTCGGTTCACGAAGTCCTACAACCTGATGATCCACGAACGCACCCATAAGAGTCCGGAGCTGTCGTTCAGCTGTGAAGTGTGCGGGAAGAGCTTCAAGCGGCAAGACAACCTGCGCCAACACAGGTGGGTGTCCCAATTAATTCACACTCAATAGGACGACGTCGACGGAAAGAACAAATCAAACTTCAATTTAAATTCGTAATTTCGAGATTCTATTTTTGAAATTAGATCTTACAATTAAAAAAAAAATTCAAAATTCTATTTTTGAAATTTTGAATGTTACAATTTTTTTTAAAAAACCAAACGGTAAATTTACGATTTGAATTAACATTCTAGAAGTGACACAAGGAATTGTCACACTTTCGAAAACAAACAATCGACAGTTGCAACAATGAGAATAAATAGTAAAGGAACAAAACAATTCACCGTTATAAGACTCAATCTTTTTTCGGACAAAGCAAACAAATTGCTTGTTGATAAATTATGCGTGTTAGCGTCCGTATTTAATAACAGCTCACTGAGTTAATTTAATAAGAGCTCACTGAGTTGCTCGTCGGATCTTCTCAGTGGGTCGCGATTCTGATCCGGTGGCAGAATCTGCGAAGCCCTGCTCTTGTTAGGGCTGGTGTTGGAAAATTCTTTCAGGTTGAGCCCGTAAGCTCATCTACCCATCTGGCGGTATCTGGAATAGCCTCTTAAATATTAGAAAAAAAAAATAAGCAAAAAAAAGTATTTCACAACATCGTCATTCTAGAATTAAGCTAGCCCTAAAATCGAACATGATCCGATCCACATTCGCGGTTACTTGGTAATAAGGTGACAAGGCTGCGGCGAGTATGATCCGCCTCTATTAGGGTCTTGTCCATCACAGAGCTACTGAGCTATATTCTTTGAGGTACTAATCAATATCACTATACACTAAGGATTTTCCATTGCTTGCATCACTTTATTTGTTTTTTTTATTGCTTAAAAAGGTGCGCGATTTCACGATCTACCTTTTTTTTAGTGGTTATTCGAGCCTATAGACATCAACAACCTAAATGCCGCCGCCTACCTTGAGTCATGAGTCTCAATTCTATAGTACAGCGGTTGCTCCTCCCTTCAAATTAGAAAGCACTTCTGCTTCGCGGCAAAAATGTACCCACACGGGTAGGCAGGTTCACAAGTCGCCTTATCACCAAGTAAAGCTTAAAAGTATAATTCACTTTATAGTTACTAGACGATGACCGTTTTTTTTTTGATAACGCCCTCTTGTTGTGTCTTTAAAGCGGTTAGTTGCCCTCAATTAAGAAAAACAATATTATTATTCGCCAATAGATGTCGGGAAGAGTTGATTCTTGAAAACACGAATAAAACAACATTTTCTGAAAATAAATCGTAGCTAGATCGATTTATCGCCCCCGAAATCCCCTGTACACTAAATTTTATGAAAATCGTTAGAGCCGTTTCCGAGATTAAGATTATATATAATATATTAATATACAAGAATTGCTCGTTTAAAGGTATAAGATTTTCAACCTCGCTCGTTCATAGTAACTCGGTTAATTTATAATTGTTCGTACCTTAATTATGACACATTCGAATGACAAGTGCTAACTAATGTAAGTTCATTCATCCTCTCAAAGGCGCTTCGACATGTCGCCTACATGTCATTCCTACTGTGTCACGGCCGCAATTAACATACAATGTGTTTAGTAGCACGGGATCGCGACCCCTTACATCTATAATCCATGCAAATTTCATCTTCAAAAGACAAATTTGAAACTTAACCTGTTTCATAAATAAGAAACTAAAAAAAAAAAAAAAAAATATAGATAATATATATTTAAAAGCGAATTCCATTTTCGAAACAATAAAGTAGGTAGAACGAAACCCGTCCTCGCGAGCTTCGAACAGCGAGTGCGCAATTGCCGCTTCGGACGGAAAAGGGAAAAAAATCGCTAACCAAACAAGACTCCACGAAATCGTGTGCAATAAAAAGCTCGTTTGTGTTCCGTACGTAACGTACGCGCACTACTTTCCGTGTGAAAAGACGAAAGAGGCACCAACAACGACCGTCTCCGAGCCTTCTGAGATCGCTAGATCGCCTGGTGCAGTTCGTGAGCTCGTGACGTGACCGCGTCTTAACGGTTCTTAATGGTCCCTAATGCTTCCGAAACTGTGCGAACGCGGTAGCGGTGTTGCCATACGCAAAAATTTCAGGAAAACTTCGTTGGAGTCGTCAAAATTTTTAGGAAAAGTTAAAATAAACTAATTCACACGAATTTTGCAAACTCAAAGTTGGGTTCCAATGTGAATAGTTTAACCGAAAACACAAATAATCTGACTATTGATTTATCTAAATGAATCGAATGTCGAATTTTAGGATATTTTGGGAAATCAGTAAAGCTGGCAACATTTCCCGGTAGCCCTTGAGTTGGTGCCACACGTGACTGCTGCAATATAATTTGCAGTTTATGCGCCGATTGTACACGGAACAACAATGTGTACCACGGCTAACAGTGCGCGTAAAATTGCACCAATTTGTTGGCTGTCTCTGACTGTGTGGAACGGGAGGATTCGTTGCAACAATACGTTGCGTAGAATTGGCCAAAAAAACTTAATATACGTTCATCAAGTCGGATAAGAGCATTGCAGATCGTTTCCGAACCGGTGGTAGTTTCTGCGAAGCACTGCTCTTGCTAGGGTAAAAGTTAGCACCACTCCCGGCTTGAGCCCCGTGAGCTCACCCACTCGCCCGGTTACGCTGACATAGCCTCTCAAGACTATCAGAATAGGTACAAAAAAAGTCGGATAAGTGATGGTTGTTTTGGTTACAAAACCCATTTCAAATTTAAATCCCCAAAAAATCACTTTAATATTTTTATTTATTAACAACCGTTTAATTAATTAGAGCTATTTAAAATACGTCTTTTTACCGATATTGTAAAACCGAGGTGCCTTATAAGTTAATTTACTAGTCATTTGTTCTATAATTTTTTTTTAATCTCAACGTTCTCTATATGCATTAATAAAACCGTAAAATATATTAGGTACAATTATAATCTTTGACGTTCGATTTACAAAATATTTGACATAGTCTGAATAGGCATTTGACAGTACCTAGACGATTAATAATATCTCAAACTAAACTAAACTCTTAAACACGTTCCGAGTCTAAGTGGCGAGCGCTTCCGACACACAGATATCTTTATACCTCGCAAAGAGCATGATGGAGCTTAATGACCTCTTGCGTGCGAACCGGCGGTGCTGCGGAGACGCCGTGAGCGCCCTCGGCATAAGTACCGCTATTGATTGTTTTGCTAAATTCGTTACGTATGGAGTTCATGTACCGAACGGGTATGTTGAACCTCGTATGTGATTTTGGCTGCTACATTCGCGAAGCACCAAATTCAATCTTACTGGTTCAAATTTACTGGTGTTAGGACCTTTTGTGAGTCCGCGCGGGTAGGTACCACCACCCTGCCTATTTCGGCCGTGAAGCAGTAATGCGTTTCGGTTTGAAGGGTGGGGCAGCTGTTGTAGCTATACTTGAGACCTTAGAACTTATATCTCAAGGTGTGTGGCGCATTTACGCTGTAGATGTCTATGGGCACCAGTAACCACTTAACACCAGGTGGGCTGTGAGCTCGTCTACCCAACAAAGCAAAAAAAAAATCAACCTGATTGCCACTGCATAAGACAATACAAGCTCCAATGTTCGCGTTAATATTTATAAGTACACTTTAGCTCAAAAGTAAACAGCGCTACGACTATTAGTTGATCTAAACGTTCGTAGTATAAGTACTTAATTAACATAATATCTTAATTATCAGAGGCAACACGTTACCGGTATCGGGCTTATTTATGGCTGTATAGAAAACAATACATCGTCGCTTAATTACGATTCTAAATCGAGTTCTCGATGTCCTATATAGTTAGCGCATTGGGTCAACACTAACGCAAACTTGGACCTTATCTAGAGAACATCGCAATTCGATAGGTCGATCCGTTCGATTCACGACTGCTGCGCATCGAGTTGGCATATCGATTGCCTTATAAATATAATCGATATCGACAGTTTTCGTTCTTACATTTTAATTTCAGAATTGTATATAAATATTTTAGATACTCTAGATTTTGTTAAGCGTCTCTCAAGAAAGCCTCAATTGATTTAAATATCGAATTATTTAAAATAAAAAAACAGTACGTTGGTTTTAAACAAAGGAAGGCAAAGGTGTCTCGTTAATTACAGCTAATGCATTTAATTCCTCACAATTGTTCCGCGTCGCGCTCTGAGGTGGTAAACGCGGTTAATTGGCCATCCCTTGGATGCATTTAGTGTTGTTATACAGCGGGAACTAATTGCACTAGAATTCGATCAACTCAATGAATATTAACGAAATATATTGCTTTATGAAATACAATTATTGCTTATAAATTTTCCATAAGGGGTCAAACTAGGACTTTCTTTTTTGTTTTGAATCTTGGAAGCGCACTTATACTACTTTCAAGATCAGAATTAATTAGCTCACAATCCTATTGTCAATTATCTTTAGTGATGAAAATTCGATCTTAGTCATTGTCGCTAACTATCCAACGAACACTATGGAACGTCGGTCTTCAATACTCTTTAAAAAAACATTTGACATTTGTCGACTCAGATTTGGCCCTAGCGTAGCTGAAGTCCATTAGTGATTAAAAATACCCACAGACACAGCCCACTGAGTTTCTCGCCTGATCTTCTCAGTGGGTCGCGTTTCCGATCCGGTGGTAGATTCTGCGAAGCACTGCTCTTGCTAGGGTCAGTGCTAGCAACACTCCGGTTTGAGCCCCGTGAGCTCACCTACTAGTTAGGGTTACGCTGACATAGCCTCTCAAGGCTATCAGCTTAGGTAGGAAAAAAAAAGATTAAAAACATTTTATGCGTTCTAATTAATCAGCCTGTATATGGAACAAAGCGTTTGGTTCCCACAGTCGCGTCGCTTCGATTCGCACATACAGGGTGCGCGATCACGAACTAACCCGGTCTCGCGCGGAAGTGTACGATCCTCGTAAATGCCGGCTTGTGTCACCTACGCCCTTTACACTGTTGTTGGGCGTATCGGTGGATCTCGACACTTCGAAAACGAATCGTTTCGACAAGCATTAGTAATACGGATCTTGATTCGTGGTAAGGTTGTCGTTCTGATTTTTCAATGTTGTTACGTTGGCTCTTCGAATTGATAGCTAGATGTTTGAAATACAGCTTCATACAATTAAGCAACAGCCAACTTTGATAAGTCGATATAAAAACTTAGTTTACTTCTGATAAAAAAAAACCGTATTCTGATTGTTTTGTAAGTAAAACAAGACTTTATAGAGTATATTGTCGTTTGAACGATTAATTCGCGGTCACGGACACAATATAATAATCAAATCACGATCCTTCATACGAATAATTAATTTAATGACATTGAACTTGTCATGGAAGAAGTTTGATAGTACTTTATTTTTTTTTTTTAAAAACCGAATTTGATTAATGTATATTAAGAACAACAGAACTATGAGCTTATTTACAATTTCAAAATTTTCGAAGTTCAACTTCGTAAAACTTATTAATGAATAAGTATTAATTTTAAATTCGTGCGATTCATTGTTTAATACGAAACATTTAAATTACCGACACTAAAAGGTTCAAGGTTTCTTCACAAAAAAAACATGTACAATAAGTTCTGTTTGTCATTTCCCAAGAAAAGATTGAGTCTGCACTGTCAAGCTAAACTGAAAGTTGTACCCGCTGTTGACATTAATCCTTTTAAAATGTTAAAACTCCTCATTGTTGCAATGTAATGCGAAAACACGTCAAAAAACATACCGAAAAAGGTATTTAAATCCTTTTTAATCCTGTTTTACCAAAAATAACGGAACGTTCTAAAGAAATTAACACGTACATTCCGGTTGAGCCGTTTCGTATTTTAATTCGATTAAGATGTCTAAGCCTCTTTTTCTTGTTAATTTTTTTGTTAATGAACTAACTAACCATTGTTTATTGCACTGTAACAATATATTTTGCACTGTTAACTGTTTTTATATTTTTTAAATCTTTAGCAGCCATGTTCGATTGTATAGTTTTAAGTGTTTAACATTTTAGCATAAATAACATTTTGTGAATTGATATGTTATTATTAACCGGTTTGTGTTAATAACATGTTTTTTCAATTGTTGTAGATGTAGTCAATGCTTGTGGCGGTGAAGGTGACGGAAGCACGATCCAACAACAGCGGTCTCTCTTACAATATAGCGTAAGAATTCATGTTTCTATTCAATATCATCGAATACACAATAGCTGTTATTAATAGCTGTTATCTCGATATATCTGTTACGAGTATGTTAGCGTGACGTAACAGTTAATATGTGCCCAAGCGCCGAAATGAAATTGAAGTATATATGGCAACAAAAACTTTATTAAAATTTTACATTTGGGCCTTTCTTATACAGAGGACCGCACTTATTGATTGATACCAAATCAATCTAGTAAGCTTAATATCTGTATAGATATGAAATAAAAAAAAATGTTTTGTCAAAGAGACAACATAAGAAAAAGTGATCGTGCTATTTAAAAAGGAACCCTACAAGCATTAAAATTAACACAATTTTTATTCTAGCAATAGCTGTTGAGGATTTTTCTAATCGGCGCGTTTTGTTACAGGGAAATCCATTACAACCCCAGAAAAGAGACCGCGTACGTACGATGGTGTTAAATAACATTATCATGGATGATGACGTCATATGCTATGTACATCTTTTAGTATATGGAAGAAGAAAAAAAAAAACAAAGTTACATAACAGTATTCGTGCTTCGTCGTTAACACCGCCAGAATGGGATATTGCAATTAACAAAATTAAGATGAAAAAAAAAATTTAACTTTTTTGGATACCGATTTAAAAAAAAAATCCCGCATTTATAAAACTGACAACAGCTCCGGATAAAAAGAATTAAGATGTAGCTCTAATCCTTAATTATATTTTCTAATAATATTGATTGATTAAATTTTACCGTAAGTACTTATTTATACTTAATTAACACGAATAGCTTGATATATAATATTGAATTATAATATATACTATATCTAATTTGCTTACATGTAAAAATAGAGTCGATTCAAATATGGATTAGAGTGACCACGTTCAAAGTATTTAAATAAACATTTTAGGACCATTTTTTTTTCAAAATTCAAAACGCATTCTGGTGAATTTGTAAATAGTATTTTTTATTAGGTTAAGTGACTTTAGCATTTAAACGGCTTAACAACATAACGTTACATATTATGATGTAAAGTAATATTTATATTATATTTAAAAATATTGTTATTAAGCTTTTATTATACGTGGAACGTAACATGTAGTTCTAGAGTCCTGAACATTTTCGATAGAATTTTTATTTATTGTTTTTTTTTTTTTTTTTGCAAAACCTTTCTTTATGTATGCATGATTGTTCCTATAATTGGATTGAAATAGAAAGAAAATTTAATATTAAATTGACCTATACTAAAATCCGTTTTCATATGACGTTGTAAAAAAGTAAAACAAAATTTAGTAGGTCATTTCTGCACTCTAACATCGAAACAAGTTTCAATTTTGGATTTTATTAAAAATCAGTGAAAATCAATCATTATAATTGTAAATTTGTGAGTTCTGTTCGCTTCGGACATCTATTCAAATATCCAATATATTCTAAAAGTATGTTACTACTCGTTAAATCTACATTATAAAAGTGATAAATGCCTTGAAAACTATCGTTTGATGTTGCTTTTTTATATTTTTTATGCCGTTACACAACTTTCCATTCAGGAAGATTTTGTTCCTATTACTAGAAATCGCTATGGTCATCGCTGGATTTGTAAAAATCACATTTAGGACGATCTCCCTCAAACGTTGCTGGAAAAGTACTCTTATCCGTAGACACTGGCTTGGCTGAAGTTCATGACTAGGTACCGATCAGCGTAACACAGTCAATATGCTAATCTTTGATGGGAATAAAGGCTAGCATAGGTAACCTGAAAAATGTTTATTTTTACACTTCGAAACACTTTAGTTTCTGTTTATAATCAACTAGCGACCCGCCCTCGCTTCGCTTCGGAAACATTAAAACACACATGAAACCAAAAAAATAAAATAAAATATTTTTTAAAAAAAGTAGCCTATGTTCATCAGGGACAATGTCGGCTTCTAATGGAAAACGAATTTTTCAAATCGGTCCAGTAGTTTCGGAGCATATTCGAAACAAACAAACAAACAAATCTTTCCTCTTTATAATATTAGTATAGAAAACAATTGATACGAAGCGAAAGGTTTAATTGTTTTTTTTTTTTTTTAATAGCTTTTGTTAAATTTAAAAAGTTGTACAATTAATTCTGTCGAGAACGACATTTCGTATAACAAAGAACGAGTCTGTAGGAAAGGATATTTTTATATTTAAAACGCTTGTTATTCTACGCCAATTATATATTACAAAGACGGCAATTATGTGTTTTTACAGTTTTAATAATAGCTCCGTTCTCTTAAACCGATAACTTTTGACATTTCACTGAACGTTAAACTTTTGAGGGTTTTTGGGAACTGGAATATGTTTATCTGGTGCAAGACTTTACAGTATTTCGAGGCGATCGAAGTAATTGTAAGCTCTTTAAATTCGTGTAATAATTGTCGCATTTGTCGTCTTTATGTCTTTTGTAAAGTAAAGCTGCGGTGTGTGAAATGGGATAAACATGACGTTTTACAACGCTGCTTACTAATGATACAGTATAATAACATTCTATGTGCCAATATGGATAGAAATGTCTGTCTTTAGCCATATTTTTTTAGTTTTAAGTGCGATTGCACGTAAAAGATTATTTTTTTTAATGAAAATTTGTCATAACATAAAAACGCCTTTATGTAGAAGAGCTTAGATGTAAAAAAAAATATATAATTTTTATTATATTTTCGTATTGTGTATGTATTCTATTACATTGTAAATGAATGATAATAAACGATTGATCAATAATACTATTTTTGTGTGCTTATTTTTATTTTCACCCTCTTGTGGTCATCTTCGAAAGTGGTGGCTAATCGTCAGATTTGTTATACAAAGAAATTTTTAAATAAAAGAACGACCAATAATTTGAACTATATAAAAATAATATTCAATACAGAATACATAATCTTAGCGAAACATAACTGAAAATGCTTAATCTAAATTACTTTTGGTTTGTCATATACAATATCAGTCAAAAATTCAATATTCACCTGCCGTAATCTGTTCAGTTAAATCCTAGAAAAGATAAGAAGATAATATCGTCTTTTTTGCATTAAAAGTGTACAATTGCCAAAAATATTCGAAATTGAGTTAACATGCGGAATCATTTAGTATCACCAGTATTTTTCTCATAAATACTGTCAAAAGAGCGTAGTTTAGTTTTTTGTTTTTTTATTTAGTTTACCTATGTTTTGGCTACTATTAACAAAATTAATACATAATTTTATCTTACTTCCAAAGACAAAACTGGTAAAAAATAAAAAATAAATGTTGCAAAGATGATTAATATAAAAAATATCACATGTTAAACCTTTAAAAAATTCCTGTAAAATAGGTAAGTTTTGAGATTATACCGTTCTAATGCGAGAAGACGATATCATATGATAACTAGTATCGCTTATCGTCGGAACTGTGACGTTGCGTTTATGGACTTTGATGAAACTTTAAAATGACATTAAACCGGTCGGTGGTCGGGTAACACGGGAGCTCGGAATACCCATTTAGTCATACAATGAACGTTGCGTTGTGAAATATATTAGTCATCGATAGTTTAATTCGTTTGATTCGAATAGATATATTGTATTTTTATTACTGTCGACCACGAAATCTTATTAAGTAATTCGTTATTCATGATTCACTAGGAAGTTTTACGTTTGTGTTCTCCTTTCAACACTATCAGTAGTTATAAATATTTTATGAACAGATATGAGTAGAGGGGTTATTTTGATAATATCCTGAAAAGCACCCCACGCTTTTTTTTTAATAAAATCATTTTTTCTTACACTATTTTTAATTCAAATTTATTAAAATTTATTTTCTATGTTTTAGTTGGATTTTTTATAAAAGCGTATTTTGTTAGTTTTTTTAAACTATTATTTATTATTACTGTTGACCACGAAATCGTATTAAGTAATCAAATAAGTAAAAAGTTTTCCTTTCATCTGTATTGATTTTTTGTTTCATTTCTTTCTGTAATATCTATATATTAATGCGTGAAGCAGAAACTTTGTGCCCCTTTTTACGAAGATTACACGGACGGATTAGTATGAAATTTCCCACCCTTATAAAGAATATAGAGAAGAAGTGCAGAATACTAATATTTTTTTTAAATTATGCATAAAAAATGCATTAAATCAATAAATAAAACATTACACACACTACCATGTATTTGACACACATACGCATGTATATTTTTATTGTTAATGTTTAAACTTATAATTTCAATTAATTATAGTCGATTTCGACTACAGATGGCCCACTAGTATTATTTAAGGCGCGCAAAAATGCGGGGCGCGTCTATAAACGAATGTCCTAGTTTCTCTTTCGCGTGTACGTGGGAGTCAGCCCTTTGAGTTTCTCGGCGGTTCTTCTCAGTGGGTCGCGATTCCGATCCGCCCCTTAGTCTACCAGTGGATATGAAGGAAAAAAATACGTGAGATATCATTAATAGATCATAATGGGCTACACAGGCCACTGAGTTTCTCGCCGGATCTTCTCAGTGGGTCGTGTTTCCGATCCGGTGGTAGATTCTGCGAAGCACGGCTCTTGCTAGAGTCAGTGTTAGCATCACTCCGGTTTGAGCCCCGTAAGCTCTACTACTAGTTAAGGTTACGCTGAAATAGCCTAGGTAGGATAGGATAGCTTAGGTAGGAAAAAAATGGGCCATAAGTATTGGTGTTAGGATAAAAGCTATGTATTGAAATCGACACGCTATATTGTTTTGTACAAGCAATGGGAAAACGGTACTAGCCGTTTTGTGCATATCGACTATGTTTATCTTAGCAGGTACATAGTTAGTGCCCCTGACTGCTGAGCCAAAGGTCGTCGTAGGTTCGACTCCCACATCGGGCAAACGTTTTGATGATGAACAGGTTTGTTTGGATATTTAATATTTATTTGTGTATATGTTAGGGATATAAGTCTCTGGTTTCTACAGTTCAGATAATGTTTGTTTGGGGTATTATTATTTTTACAAATAAACATGGAAGATCTTCTGCCTAACTATGACCCTGATGTACCCTTTGATGATTTAACGAAAGTAAAAAACGCGACTCATTTCGAACAATACAATTGAGCCTCAGGAAGTCACATTCCAGGTAGGAATTAATGGAAGGAAAACAATACGATGTGATGTCCATGGACTCCATTATTCAACACCACTAAAAGGCTATAAATTCGTGACCTGATTAACGGAATTTAAGAAACTGAAAAAATAATAATCAAATACTCTGTTGCATTCTTTATTGTGACACTCAATTGAACGAAAAGTGTCTGTTTTGAATTTCTCGGTCCCCAAATAAACCTTGCACTGAATAGTGTTGCATTTATATGCGTTAAATAAAATTCCGCTTAAGTCGATCGCAGGGTCAGGCTACGTAGAACCGGTTTGCGCGTAACGCGGTGGCGCGCAGACGGCGGGGCACCACACTCGGTCACTTGTCACGGATACAAATCACACGACGAAACGTGCGATTGTAACCTGCCGATTATTCGATCCTAAATACAAAACAAATCGTTCGATTTTATCGATTCACAAGTGAGTCGAATATGATGACCGTGATTGACTGGTGCGCGGTAATATAAATATCGTCTTTTCGCATTAAAAGTGTACAATTTCCTAAAATATTCGAAATTGAGTTAATATGCGGAATTATTTGGTATCACCAGTATTTTTCTCATAAATACTGTCAAAAGAGCCTAGTTTAGTTTTAGTTTTTTGTTTTTAAGTTTACCTATGTTTTGACTACTATTAGCAAAATTAATACATAATTTTATATTACTTTAACAATGTAACTAGTAAAAAATAAAAAAATATTTTGCAAAGATGATTAATATTAAAAATATCACATGTTAAACCTTTAAAACACTCTCCTGTAAAATTAGTAAGTTTTGAGATTATACAGTTTCAATGCGAGAAGACGATATATTTTCCTACCTATGCTGATAGCCTTGAGAGGTTATTTCAGCTTCTCCTTGACGTGTAAGTGAGCTAACGGGTCTCAAATCTCCCGATTTGAGACCTGTGTTGCTAACACTGGCCCTAGCAAGAGCAGTGCTTCGCAGAATCTACCACCGGATCTGAAATGCGACAAAATAAATATATATGCGATATTTG